CACACACAGACTGTATATAAAGGATGGACAGCCACTGTGACATCATTCTGTGATTTTGAACTCCAAATGTCTTAAATCATCAGTATTGCTGCAATGCATGTACACATTTTTATGCTAATTAGTCCTAAACAACAGACAAATAATAATTTAGCACAAAAAAATTGTCAAAACTGGCAAAAAATTGTCAAACTTTCTTGGAGAGTCTGTACCACAGCACAGGTTGTAATATTTGTCAGATAAATCCATTAAAAATGCTGCAAAAGGCACCAACAGTGTAAACATGATGGAGTTCAGTGACTCAAATTAGAGGCACTGAGGCCCATTACTGGAAGCCACGCCCCTATGTGTTGGTCGAGTTATAAAAAATTTATACAACTCTGTTACAAAGGGGGAAACTATCCATTTCGACCAAAAATAACAGGTTAAATACACTGTTTCCTTAAACTCTGAAATTTTCTTATGTGCCTTTAACTGTTTTACGGTTTTGTGTCTTTTTTTGTTTTGTTTTATTGAGGTGTGGGAATCGGCGGCGTGAAACCTGGAGGTAAGTCTTTCATACAGCATACATTAGCAATGTTCTGGCTGATTTGTGTCTTTGGATGCACAAATGCACATATTGTAGTCTATTCCTTCGATGGGCATTAACTCTATGAGTGACTAGGGCTGCTAAATTATGGTAAAAATCTTAATGGCAATTATTTTGGTCAAAACTGTAATAGCTAAAGTAATATTTTAAAAAAAGCAAAGTGTAAAATAATTTTTCTGTTTCCTCTCAGTTACTGGTGCCCTTGGAGCACTGGGTAGCCGATATGGCAACAAAGCAATGAAGACTGGAAGTGGGTTTAATCTGCTTGATTTTCTGCCTCTTATGTCTCTTTAACCATACAGAGGGGATATTTAAACTTTTACTTTGTTAAATATTTCAGTTGGACGTTATCCTGCAGCCCAGCTTGGTGTTGGTGAGCAAATCAAACATGCAAAAACAATTTCTCCTGTTTAAAAGGGATCCATCACACAGTTTTTAAAAATGTTTTTGACCATGATATTACTTGGGATTTACTATGCACAGAAAGATTCTGTTGATGCACCTGGTTTAAAAACTATATTCTTTAACTATAACTTTAACTATATTCTGTATATGTATTATTTTCATTGTGCCCTCAGGAGGCTACAGATCTCTTGGATTAGGAGGAAGAGCTGGTCTGATGCAAGGTGGATATGGAAACCAGGGAGCCTATGGTACACACTCAAACCCTCACAGCATACTTTTTCATTCTTTTCTCTTGGATGTGGTCAGTCTAGTTCATGAAATAAATAATAGTTTATTAAAAATGTATGATACATTTTCCCTGTGGCTTTAGGTGCCAGTCTGGGCCCAGGAATGGGGCTGGGGGCTGGGCTCACAAACGGACTGGGACTGGGATTGGGCCAGGGAGGAAAACGTGGTAAGACTGATATATAAAGAAAGACTTAATAGGCCCTATTTATATATCTTCCTCTTTAGAGAGCCATTTACTTTACTTTGTGTTTTTGTTATTAGTCATTATTTATTACTCGAAATAAATAACTATGTGTGCTGCTTACATGTGTTACATATGTCAAGGTTGTTGAAACTTTACCCTCACTGTTCTGGTTTGCAAATTACCTTATACATTTTTTTTACCCTTATGATTCATCATAATTATCATAATAACAATGCGACCAATTATTTTCGCAGTACTTAAGATATTAAGCCTCCCAGTGTGGTCTGGTGCAAGATTGGGGTTATTTTTAGTTGCGCTCACACCTAGCAGCAGAAATCTTGGCAGCCTGTATTGCATGCAAATCCTGGCAGAAAACCAAGAAGGCTAAGATGCAACCAGTTTTCTGAAAGGTTGAACTGCTACAACTCATGTCACACCTTTTACAGATATTACACAGCAAGGATGAGGATGAATCTAACAAACGGTTGGATAGCAGCTGCAGGGATCTTTGTAAAGAAATATTAACTCTGTGTTTTTGTGACCTTTCAGCTTATGGTGCTGGCTTGGGAACACTTCCAGGTAAACACTTTTGTTTCCTTGTGCTGTATGCACAAATGAGAGTAAAGAAATTGGTTTAATAAACACAATAAGTTGGACCCTGTCAACCTGTCAGTGGACATGGTATATGGGGCAGACTGCATCTCAGCTAATGGATTATGTGACCTTGTAGTATTGAGAGAAACCCAGGATGTCAGTGACGTAACCCCAGTGCTGATTTATTTAAAGATGAGCTGTTTTTGTTTCCTTGCCAGGATATGGATCTTTAGGGGGCATTGGCTATCTTGGAGCACGACCAGGTAAGTGATGAACTATGTTTCATGTGATGTCCTGTTCTTTTAGCTTTGAACTGTTTTAGGCCTGTTGCCAGACTTGATGCAGAGGCATGCATAAACATCAGCCTTATCAAGCTGATCAGCAGAGATTGTTTCTCAGAAGCTGTCTTAATACATTATACAGTACAATAATAATACGCCCACATCTGTGACACAAGCACTTTGCAGAGATTGTGTCTTTGCAAAAAAAAAAAACAACCCTCCTAAACTGTAATACGCTGGCCTGCGATGCTGCTGTTATCAGTGACATCTGCTTTATGGGTTTCACCCGTGCAGGTGTAAAATCTGTGGTGTTTCTGTGTAATCAGTCTGTCTTCATCTTTGCTGACTTGTGATTCACTGCTATTGATGTTGATTTCATGTCTTTATGTGCATGAAAACAGATCATCTGTATCTATTTTACTATCATCTGAAGACTGGTCTGTTTTATTTTGTGCGCACAGTTCATCGTGTCTATTGGTGTTTCATCTCGACTGCATGTTGCATGACTTCCTGGCTCTTTCAGCCTAGTGTTTCGAAACCAGATGTCCTGAGAAAGCTCTGACTGAGATCACCCCATGCTCATTGGCTGATGACTTGTGGCTGACATGTTGTTAGCCAATGACTTGTCCTCATTTGTGGTTGTTAGAACAGCAAGAATTTACTAATTAAAATACATGTTTTAGTCAGCAAGGGAGCAAATGAGTGAGGGCCATTTTCCCATAGACTTTTTTGTAACCCTAAGCTTTTATGCAACCAGAAGCATCCCTGCCAGGTATTAGAAAGAATGCAATTTTAAGACACTTCCACATTGGCTTCCTTCCCCTCCACCACTCCAGCCCCCACCTGTGGGCTACTTATTATTCCTTATGCTGCACACACATGGTTTAAAGGCAAAATAAGAAATTACTCACACTCACACTTTATTTGTTTTTTGCCTTTGAGATATGTTTTAAAACTGTTTGGCGACTCTGGTTCTGGCTCATAGTAAATGTAAATATGCTTGTAGTTTAAACACATATTATGAGTAAAACCTCACTTTAAGAATCAGAAAAATTTCAGTTGCTTTTGCTGTGGACTGCAGGCTTCTGCTTTCATGCCCACTCAGCTCTGTTGTTGTGTGTCATACACAGATGTTGCTCGAGTCAGGATATCCTTTTGTCTTGTGCTTGAACGCTGGTGTGTTTCTTGACATTTCAACAATTTGTGAAGGAAACAATGTGTTGTCATGTCACGTTTTATGTGCTGGTGTCATTACTCTAAATGAATGTGTAAGTCTGTCTGAGTTCCCACTGATTCTATCTTTGGTTTGGTTCTGATTTTTCTGTGGATGCTCCGATTTATATTACAAACTTCAAAGAAAGGCTTGAAGTTTGCTGCTACAGTGTGCTGCTGGACCTCAAAGAAACACTGTTGTCTCTGAGGTGAGATGAAGTTGTGAATGCATGCTGATATCTCTCTGCCAGGTGTGTCTGCAGAACATTTGGTTGGACCTGAGATGGCCAGTCAGGGTCAAGCTGTTCAAGATCTTAAACGAGAAAAAATCAGAGGTCTAGACTCGTTTGGAAAGCAGGAGGTCAAAAGCTTTGATTCAACAGTCCAGTCATCGAGTCTTGGACACACAACACCTACTGTTCAAGGACAAAGTAACCACCCTGCAATACCCAAAAGAAAGCTGGCCCCAAATCATGAAGTCATTTTGGGAGCTGGAAGTCCGAGAAGACAACTGCCTGTTGATAAAGACAACATCCAAAGTCTGGGTTCTTATTCATCTCAGAGTGCCCGAGACTATGATTCATCCAAACGTGAAAATCAGCGAGTGGAAAACTGTGGATCTCCTATTAATTTACTAGAAAACAATCGCTTAGGTTCAGGAATTCAAAAGGGTCAAAGTTCAGTGGCTCAGCCGCATCTTGGTAGCACGACGTCACAAAAAGAAAAAGACAAAACCTCTCGACTACCTTTTTCAGAAGCTGAGGATGTAAGAAGACGTATTTACGCGACTCCACTGGATCAGAGAATAAGAGATTATTTCTCTGCTGTGGCAGACAGGCAGCGCGTCAAAGGACTTTTAGCTGAAAACGCAAATGGAATCAGAATCCGTGGGACTGTTACGGTACAAGATGGCAGATATAGTACTGCAAACCTTCCAGCAAAAGGAGGAAGGCGCTATGGAGCAGTGATCCCAGGTACTAGTGGAACCCTAAGTGTAGGCAGTGCCTCTAATAGAGCAGATGGACAGGAAGCTCCAGGCTTTAATGGAGATGATCAGAGTGCTAAACAGAATTCCCAAACTGAACATGATGTCAAAAAGCCAAAAGCCCTCCCTATCCCAGGGCAGACTGGGAGGAATGCCCAGACTCCAAGTAAGAGCAAAGCTTTTTCACCATCTAAATGTCTTTTTTGATTCATATCTGTCTGTCTGTGGTCCGTTCTTGAGATTTTTGAGAAACAATTTCATATTTCTGAGACTGGCTTTCAGATTGTTGTTTGTGTGATGTCTATGCTTCTAAACAGACTTTAGTTTCCTCTGCTAGTTGGCATTGAGACTTTTGCTGTACTAGTCAAACAAAACACTTTACCAAGTCAGTCTTTTAAACTAGTGACTCTAATTGCCAGTATAGTTCTGCCAAAATCCAAGTTCAAATTTTTTGGCTTAAAAAAGTTGAACTAGTCAAACAAAAGAGGCACTTTTGAAAGGTTTTCCCTCTTCTAATGTGACCAAATGTAAAATTCATGCTGAAAAACTAGCGACTGAGCTGTTTTCTATGGAAGCCCGTTTCCGCCACTAAATAAAAACAAAAAACTAGTATCCATAACTCGAAATTTCGAGTTACTTTTCTCAAAATTTCAAGTTAGCTCTGCCAATCAAAAATCTACGTGAATGAGGTCGCTTTCTTGTTACCCGGAAGCATATGGCGCAGAGGAACGCGCACTCAAAAACGGATCCCAACAAATTGCGAGTACGTTTGCTGATAGTCACGTCATGTGATTCAGCTAAAAACACAGGGATTTCATCATTTGTGAAGCCACGCTGACAACACTCAGCAATCTGTGCATTCACGACTGGATGTACTACCAGTAGCTTAGTATTTTCAGATGCTCATATTTAGTTTTAACCAAAAAATAAATAAACAAATTAGACTGCATTATATATAACACACAATAATTACATATTAACATGATAAATATAAGCTGCAAGGCAGTGGAGCAATCACCTTGGAAAACCTTGAATCATGACTTCTAACCTCGGTTTGGTGAAGGTTTGTGATTTTGGCTTTCAGCTCTGATGCACCTTCAAGTCTGTTTGGATATCTTTGCATTTTGTAGGAAAGTCAAAACACATGCAGTGCACACCGCTTGAGCCATAGTAAACAGCTGTTTGTTATCTTAGTAGCTTAGATCTCTTGGGCTGCAGTTGCCAGTGATACTGAAAATAGTCAATCTGGGCATTGCACTGAGAGAAATTCAAGATTTAATCACTGGTGAGAGCAGTGATCATTGATTAGATTTTAGTTTCCATGTTCAAATCCAGAAGCTGCTACACGACACAAAACTGAAACCAGTGTGGCTTCAGCCTGTTTTTTATGCTAATGTGCATTCCAGTAAGAGATTTGCATTGTTCTTGGTAACAGGCTTCTGATCATACTACATCGAGTGCTGGGAGGAGCTTTGAGTTGTTCATTTGTTTTTATGTTTTCTCGTTATGTATGAAATTTAACTCTAAAACAATATATGTCACATGTACATTCTTCCTTCTTACAGCCGGGTTTTGTGTGTGGTTTACTGTCTGTGTGTAATAATATTGCTGGAGTCTTTATTAATCAAATTAGACCATATCTAAACTCATATTTATCCAGATTGGAACCCAGGAATGTATAACTTGTTTTGCTGGGAGCAATAGTAAAACATAAAAAATCCCAAATACCTCAGTCTTTCATCTGGGTATCTGTGACTTAGGGAGTGATTTTAGGTGGTCGTTGTGGTTTTTAGGACTCAGTCCAGTGGAGAGGATCTCCCAATACAAGTCTGACAAAGATGAAGACATTTATGGCCTGATGAGGTTGAAAAAGCGTTCCATAACTGTCTTTATTATGTAAGGAAAGGAAAAGTGAAGTGCGTTTAGCCTAAAGTAAATCTCGGGTGATTTTGCTGAGCTTGTTTACCTTCTTCTCAGGTTATGCTGGTGGAGCGGGAAACTACATGGGAGCAAGCCTGGGCGCTTTGGGTTATGGAGCAGGTAATGCTGGGCAATGAGACATAATTCACGAAGACTAGCTGCTGTTTTTAGCAGATGGAGAGGTAGGTTTACAACTTTGGTAAAGTCTTCCGATGTGTTGCCAGCAGGGTTGGGACAGGGAGCATATCTGGGTGGAGCAGCTGGAAAACTTGGAGGTATGCATGTAAATTTTCCTTATTTTGTCTTTTCTTTGCTTGGAGATAAGAAATTATGTTTTGCATTTCATATTCTGTGTTTCTTCCTGTTCATCTGAAATTTGTTTTACATTTTAGCTGCTGCTGCACTTGGGCAGGGTGGTTATCCCCAAGGTGTTGCAGGAAAGTCGACTGGTAAGGCTGTAACATATTTATTTGGTCTCTGTCGGCATCATTTCCCCAGGCTTCACTGAACAGTTTAAAACTTTTAACAGGATGCTTTCTTGGCCTGCTAGATAATAATTTGGATGCAATTTGAAAGCACCTTTGGGTCACAGTTACACTATCTGAACCAAATTACTAGGCCCAGTGTTGGTCAAGTTACTTGAAAAAAGTAATCAGTAACTAATTACTGAGTACTTCCCCCCCAAAAGTAATCCCGTTACTTTACTGATTACTTATTTTCAAAAGTAATTAATTACTTAGTTACTTAGTTACTTTTTAAAAACCCGATTTACAACCTGAATAGGTAATAAAGTGATAGATCTTTCAGCCCAATTCTACTTTTTCGACATAATCCATCATACAAAATGTAATCAAATGGAAAGGTCTCTTTTTTTAAACTTGTTTTATCAGTTTTAATCTTTTAACTTTATGCATCAAGCAAAAATTTAATTATATGCAACATTCTGACTTGAATAAATTAGTTTAACATTGAAACCTATTTTCTGCACATTCCAGCACATAAAATAAAATACTTTTTGTGTTTACACTCACTCTTTCAAATAGATGCAAGTAAAACACAGCAGAAAATAAATAAAGTCAAAGACTCAGCGGTCCTGTTGCTCTATTTTCACCTGTAATAGGCGGAGGTTTACCCTGGTGCAGGTGTGCTGCGGTCAGTTGAAGAATCCGCGAGTTTCTCTGTGAGTTTCCCATTACCTCATTGCATACTCGGTGCTTGTTTGGAAGTTTAGGGGTTTTTTTCGCTGTAAAAAGAAGTTTTCTTCCCACGCACAATGGACGCTAATGTTTTTGTCACTTTTTATGGAATCAAACTCAAAGTAAGGTCAGTACTTCCACGCTTTAAACGCTGCACGCTCATACTCTCTCCCACAATCGATATGTGATCCATTGTTGATCTGCACACAGCTGTTGTCACTAACGGCGCACTCGCTTACGTCACTGTCATGAGACATTCTCGCAAAAAATCACGGTTTTAGTAACGCAGTAACACAGCGTTCCTACGGGAAAGTAACGGTAATCTAATTACCGTTTTTGCAATAGTAATCCCTTACTTTACTCGTTACTTGAAAGAGTAATCAGATTACAGTAACGCGTTACATCTCTGACTAGGCCAGCTTACCCGTTACACCTACAGGAGCTGCTCAGCCATAGACACCCAGGACACGAAGATCCACAGTTTTTGTGTTGCTCTTCATTCCAGAGGAGGTTTGGACCACTGTAGTTACTGAGTCAATAGAGATGTGGTGACATTTATTCAAAGATCAAGCGGTGTGGCCCTATCCTTGTATGCATGGAAAAAAAATTCCTGGTGGAAGCTTTCTGGTCTGGTTTATAGTCTGTTTTCACACCAAATTCTGTTGGCCAGTCACAGTTGCACAGTCTTTGGTTATATGCAGGTAAATAGTTCATGTATAAAACAAAAGAAAACGTGCATTTGCTGACATGCAAACAACTAGCCACTGACAATGATCTCACGGACATGCCCCCAAACAGGCCGTTGTCTCACCAGACTAGCCAGTAAATTTCCAGACTACCTTAATAATCAGGTGTTTCTCAGTCTGTGTGCTAAGCTGTTTGGCTACTACCTTTAATTTAAACAGAGGCTATCAGTTAAACTCATGGCAAAGAAATGGAGGCCTATTCATGGGTCTCTCCCACAGACCCCGGGGTCCTGTGCAGATGTAGAAGCTTGTCAGAAAAGACTTGAGGATATGCTTGATAAGAAAATACGAAGTAATTTGCCTACTCGAATTTTGTTTTTAAGGCAGTGAATGGAGGTAAGGCCTCAAAGCCAGACAGCATAATTCCTACTTTGCCTTGTAAACCAATCATTTGCTTGTCAGTTGTATGTGAGGAGGTAAAGAAAAAAATCTCTACCTTACGTTCAAGGTCACACCAGAGGTTTCCTTTCAGATGAATGATTAATAAGTAAGAGACAAAAACAAGTAAAACAATCAACGTGTCAGCCATCTTTAAACTGTCCTGTTAATATACAGTTGTTCTTTTTTACATGCAAGAAAAAAGACTTATATTCATGTAAACTTCAGTCATGTAAATCTATATAGAGACTTAAATCTATACATCATACTCATCATCCCATTAAGTAAACAGTGAATGTGTGTTATTACAGGTTATGGTGATGGAGCAACAGGATATCTTGGTGCTGTGGCAGGGAACGGCTTGGGTAAGTTCAGCAAGTTAGAGAAGTATACATCAAAGAGTATTTACACTGAGGAAAACTTTAACCTGCACTGGCAGAGAATCGTTCGTCACTCTGCTTGGTGTCAAAGACAGCCCGCATCAAAGCTGTTGATATTCAGTCAAGATGGACTTTCTCTTTGTTGCCGTTACTTTTGTGTTTCACTGTAGGCTGAGGCAGTTTTGCAAAAGCTTTGTCTAGCACGATCACAGACTTGAATTTTTTCCCCTCTCTTTCATGTATAACTGCAATCTTTTAAGTGCTTCTACATCTCTCCTCTCAACAGGTTACGGGAATGGTGACGGCTATGGAGCTGGTGAGTGAAGCCTGAATATTACTGGAGCAAAATGTGTTGTGAAAGTCAGTCTAGCTCTCGACATATACAACATAATTAGTGCTAATTAGTACTATGTTTCAGACCTTGCTTACCCTGCAGAGTTAGCCGATGGTGCTGAGAAAAAAGCAGGGAAGAGTGAAGGTAACAGTTCTGAGGAGCGATAACCTGCTCAAAAAACCCGTGAGGAGTGATGGCACTAACCTTTAGAGGCTTAACCCATGATACTGGATAGCTTGACAAAGTAGATGTCAATAGAAACGGCTTCCTCTAATATGCTCAGTGTGATTTTTTTTATCCACTGGGTGTAGCTATTGTCTCTGATTTATTGAAGCTGACCAGTTAAATCTGGTGGTTTCTGCCCTCCTGCTCCCGTAGATGCTTTTAAAACTAACAACTAGTTAATCGGTTGAATCGATTAATGACACAAGAATGTTTGACCTGTGTGTTTATGTTTGTCTTTTTTCAGCCCTCAGTCCTGGAGGCTATGCTGGACAGGTCCAGGGGGGCTATGGTAGGAGATTTAAGGAAACTCTCTCACATAAACCAACAGAAGTAAACAGAAGGGCTCAAAAGCATTTGGTTATAGAATATAAAGCATCTGTTCTCCTCCAAATCTGTTTGAATTTAATTTCAAACCAGTAAACACCCTGCATGGAACATAAGCCTTGCATTTACCAGCAAGGAGTGATGCCTACATGTGCTTTCTGCGACGTGTGAAGTCTTGACTCAAAAAGCCCTCTCGTCCTCTTTCAGGAGCACTTGGGGCAGGCCTGGAATCAACTGGTGGCAAATATGGTGAGCAACGGTGACAGCACCTCGCCCTTCAGTCATGCTATTAGTCAGGCAACTGTCAGCGTGGGTTTCCACACGTGACTCAGACTATAGTGGTGGAGAGTGCACAGCTTGCTGATTAATCATGGAGGTCGAAGGGTGAAGAGAGAGAGATGACGATGTATGAGTCAGATTGACCATTTGATTTTCTTCTTCCCCCTGCAGGAGGAGGAGCTGGTCAGGCTCCTTATGGTAATGCCCCAGTGCTTCCTGCTGGACTGGAAGGTAGTAGATACATGAGCTTGATATCATAGCTGCAACAATAATCATTGCAAAATACCTGCGCCACACAACATTGTATATTATATCAAACTTTTGCACATCATAAAAGCTTCACCATGCTATAAACAGGTAGTGTTACACTTTTTCAGATCAGTACATCACATCATGGGAAGATATTGTATGTCCTTTCACGCTACACTAAACACTTTCAGGATATTGTCTATATAGAGACATTTTTGTCCTGCACTAAAGAGGTTTTTTCTTGTCAAATGGTACAAAATAACAGGAAAATGTAATGTAACACAGACGTAGTGACTTTATTACAAGTAGATGAATGTGGCTTATTCTGAGTCCTGCAGACTAAAGAAAAAAAATCATAGACTTAGATAAAAGAGGGAAATAGATGTAGCCACCCATTGTTTTCTGAACCCATTTTGAAGTCTCAACATTAGCATCGTCCTCATTTTGGCGTTAAATATTTTATGTATTTAAGAATAAGAGTAAAATTCTGTAAAATTTATTTGATAAATTCATTTAAATTATCTTTTTTTTTTTTTACAGTGTACTTTACATTTCTTGATCTGGGCATGAGGGGATGATTTAGATGTAGAGTTTATCAAAGTCTAGAGCGAATAAGCCTTTATCTGAATGGTCTCAACTGTTAGGGCAGCAGCTGCAGCAGTGTTTTAATTAAGATGAATGACTGGGTAACTGCTGTAAACTGGAAGTATGAGTATAGTAATAGGAAATAACTCAATAATCATAGAAAGTCTGTTCATATATGAAGATCGTAGGCTTCCCCTTTTGTCTTCGAGTCATTTTGCATCTTGTTATATGAGGACGCTTTTCACTTCACTATAAATTTATAAAGTGAAAAATCCAGTCATGCAGGTTATTGGGACATCATCTTTGTTTGAGGGGCCTCGAAATGCTGCATAAACAATGATCACGCAACCAAAATGAAACTGGCCTAGCCCCAGCCTTGGTATACTTGTTAGTATAAAGTATATAAACGAATACATCAACAAGGCTTACAATTTTCTCTTTTTCTCACATCCTGTCAGTTTATCACAGTATTAAAGCTCAGTGAACTGCTAAATAGTCACATTTAACCAATTTTTTTCACTGCCCACAGGTGATGGCGGCTATCCGTATGCTGCACAGCAGCTTGGTCTTGGAGCTGAAGGTGCTAAATCTGCAAAATATGGTGAGAAAAAAAGTGTGAGAAACTCTAAAGTGGAAAGTTACCATGCGGCCAGATAAACTGTGTCGTTTTGGTTTTCTTTTTTTCTAGTTCAGTACCAATGAGGTCAAAAGCCTCAGAGATAGTGAAAAATAAAACTCATCAGAAGCATTGTGAGTGCAGATAAGCTGCAGGGCTGTTTCTATGTGATCCTGCCTGATATTGACTCTTTATTGTTGCCCTTTTTCTGTGCTGTTTCAGGCCCCGGTGCAGGATATGGAGCTCAACAAGCAGGTTCAATTTAATGCACTTTTTCTCTCAAAGTACTTCCAGTGTACTCCTAAATTCTCAGAGTGTACTCCTGGCATGTTTGCAGATACGTACGTCCCAAGTCCTAGCCTTAAAAGTGTAATTTCTGTTGTGTGTGTTTTATTAGGGTTCGGTGCACAGCTAGGGCCAGCTCAAGATGCTTTGGGTAAGAAAACCACTGACACTTCCTCATTTGTGATGAGCTACCACTACTGCTGCTTCTGGTTACCTTATTAGTCACGTCGTTTTGCACAATATCGCAGCACAACAGACAGCACACAACAGATGTTACTGTGCTGAAAAATGCCTTCATATGTAATAATCACGTGATTTTGCAAGAGTCAAAATATTAGTGTCCTTTACTTGGATTCTTTTAAAATAAGAATAGCAACACAAATGTGATGCAGTTTAAAAAAAAAACTTATTCACTGTTATTCTTTTCACTTAAGTAGCTTGCACACTGAAAGTGCAGTTGCATGTATTATGCATTATATCCCTCTTTAGGAAGTGTATGTGACCTGCATAGTGTGATAGCTAAGTCCTCTAATGCTACTTTTTTTGCCAGGTTTAACACATAGCTGTTAGATTTCTTTGTCTCAATGTAACAGTTTCGTTTTTAGTGAATTTGTAACACTGACCTGTGCCGATTGCTTAACAGGAGAGCAGACTGGCAAATATGATCGAGTGAATGCTGCCCTGGGTAACGGATACAAAGGTGAGAAATAGTGCACGAAGGTCTGGTTAACTAATAAAGTGGAGTTAATACACTTTTTCTTGTTTTCTGTCATATATTTACGGAGCCCCGCAGGGGACATGGGAGGAAAAAAATTAAGATGGACTTTTGCGAGATCTCGCAAAACAAACTCGGGATCTCACAAAACTTTTGCGAGATCTCGCGAAACAAACTCGGGATCTCACAAAAGTTTTGCGAGATCTCGCAAAACAAACTCGGGATCTCACAAAAGTTTTGCGAGATCTCGCAAAACAAACTCGGGATCTCACAAAACTTTTGCGAGATCTCGCAAAAGTTTTGCGAGATCCCGAGTTTGTTTTGCGAGATCTCGCAAAAGTTTTGCGAGATCTCGCAAAAGTCCGTCTTAATTTTTTTTTCTCCCATGTCCCCTGCGGGGCTCTGTATATATTTACTGTTACAGTGACAGATGGTTGTATTAAACATGGTCAAATAGTGAAGTCAGTGTATGACCCGTGAGTCAAAACCTCAGGTTTCCCACTGGTTTGTGAGAATTGTTTTCTACTCTTTGATCTGTGTGATGTCAGAGAGTGGATATTCCCAGTATTGTCATCTCAGACGCAAATCTGCTGTTTATGCGGGGTTGTCAGCTACAGTTGGCTTAAAGCGAGAGGAGCGCCTTCTCGTCCTGGCATATGCTATCATGTCCTTTGGCAACTGAGAGATAACAACAACTTTGTTGAGATCTTCAATCTGCATTAGGTCGCTTGAGTTGTCACACGTTTGACTATAGTTAGTGTCCCTTTGTCAGACTTTTTCTCTTAGAGATATATATTTAGTTCATTTAGTTTATTTCACACCCTGAAATTAAGCTACCAAATACTCACTTAGTCTTAGGGTGTGAAAAAAAATGGTTACACTCAGATAGAAAGGCTGGTTTAGGTACCTCTTCACAAAAGGTCTGCTCGCTGAACAATAATAGATTGACAGACCAGTCTTTCTAATGCCATACCTGTGGCTAACTGACAAACCAGACAGGAAAACGAGCCCATCTGCTTGCTATCTAGATTTTCTTTCTGCCACTGGCAGCCAATAATATATAAATTGGCTTAAGTGGACGGTGGCCTTTAAGGTGGAGGTGACTAAAACTGCTTCTTCTGCTGTTTTCAAACATACACTGCTGCTCTGAACTATACTGAGACAGAGGCGAATCACCACTTTTCTTCTACGTCTTGTGAATGCCTTCTATCTAGCACTCACACACATTCACTCTCCAATAAACACATCTGAACTTGGGGTTCAGTATCTTACCCAAGAATACTTTGGTCCTCCTGAGCTACAGTATGCTGTCCTATTGTCCTATTACCCAAGCCTCGCTGCCACCATCACGTGTGTCACCTCTTGCACGTTTACCCAGAAAGCTAAACCATAAGCCGTATTCGAGAGTGTATAATGTTTATTTCTGGGTGTTGCATGTGAAAAAGAACAGCTGCGCAACAAAATCTGAACCTGCTTAGTTTGTAACTGTACAAAGGTGATGGGTGAAAACTTTAGCTGTTAGACAGTGGATGAGCACCAAGGTAAAGCATAAGATACATAAGGATTATTTCGAACTGTGAATTATGCAAAGCTACTCTAATAGAGTCCAATAATAACCTTACAGGAAATGGGCACAATAATTCCCTTTATTAGTATCAGAATCAGAATATTTAATTGTCATTAAGACAAAAGCAAATGCTGCTCCATTCAGTGCAAAGAAAACTGTATAACTATTCGTAAACTTGTATTCTATGTACAAGAAAAGAAGTTTTAATAAAGAAAGTATAAAATGGTATAAAAGCATGAATAAATAAATCTGTACACATATGTTTATGTTTGTGATTGAGTCATTATTAATTATCGTTATTGAATATGTAGGTTTATATGGGTTTGAATGTGAAAATTAGACATAGGATGGGCTTGTTTTGGACATTTTTCACACATTTTTGTGTGATTAATGATTCTCTTCCGTATTAATGATCTTTGTGCTCTCCCCTTTTCCTCTGTGTCTGTGTCTAACCAGGCTAATTCCCACGACGTTGACCTCTTCAAGTGGATCATTACCATAAAGTGTTCAGTCCAATGAGGTTGCAGAGCTTTTCTGTGTGATTTACTCTACTTTGTTATGTTGTCATGTCTGTATGTCTTTTGTTTCATTCTTCTCATCCACCTTGTCCTTCTCTGTGAACGGACATCTGTAAACCAGATGTCTGTCTGCTTGTCTCCCTCCTCTCAAACCTGCAGCACCCACGAGTTTGTTCCTGGCAGTGCTAAAAAGGCTTGGTGGTGATTGATAAACATAAATGGATGTGAAATGCAAGAAATATGTCCCTTTGTTTTGGAATAATGATTTGTTCTGTTTTAATCCAATAAATTATATCACCCAGTGACGCTAAATAGAAGCTTCTGAGTCAAAACATTTTGTGTGCGATAGTGTGCTCTTTAATAGATACAATGAAACCTCATCCGCACACAGGAAGTTTTACCACTTCCCTTTTCGAGTTAGGTGACATTGCCAAAGAAAAAGTAAACACTACCACCAAAAGCAGGGTGAAATATCGACAAGAACAAAGTGTTCAGATATTATATATTTATTGTGCATAATAAAGCTCCATTTATAGTGAGAATAAAACACATATGGTATATTGGAACATTGTGCAAATACTTGAACTGACACATAAACTGCTGCAAAATGAATGCAGGAAAATTCATTTTGCTAATGATGTAGGTAAAATCATTATTAATGAGGGATAATAACATTATAAATTAAGGTTGAGCTGGATTAGCAGAAACTTTTATATGATCTACAACAGACATGGCTACATAATGTCTTCATATCTAACTGGCTTTAGGGAATACAAATGCATACATCCATAAACAAACACAAAATATTTATTAAATGTATTTGAATATATTAATCCAGTTTTCTGACATCTAGAACATTAAAACATTGCACAAATGATATATGGAGAAATATTAGTGACGGATAAGGTATAGTCTAGAAATTGCAAGATGAAAGCAAAGAACGAATCCTTCACGTTGAAGCCGAGTCTCTTCTGGTTAGGTTTTCAAGTGAATCCTGAGATCTGTTTTCAGTCCTGAAAAACAGACAAACAGATAAATAACCAAACAAATCAACACATCACCCCTTTGGCCCAGGTAGAAATAATCTTCCCTTTTAAGTCTTACCAAATTCGTAAGTGCGTGTTATTTTATGCCATACGTGAAGCTCTTGCGAGCAAAACTCTGGTTTTTCCAAGAGCTTGATTTATCCACAAACACACCCATTTTTGACAGGATGGCCGGTGGAATAGGATGAGCGTTGCGTGACACATACAGCTTTTTCAGACTTGGATTAATAGGAGTGGGTTTATATTCCGTGCATGACTTTCCAGTCAGACTCGGAGCACATTGCACTTCCACTTTGTAGAACAGCTGGCCGTGCTGCAGAGGACAGAGATCGGTTGTAACTCCAGAAGTCAAAAGTGGCTCACATTCTCCCAACAGGTCATCGTCCCACTTGCTGTCCTCGTCCCAGACTTCAAATCTGAATTTGGTAATTGATGAGACATCCTGCGTGCCCAGGTCGATGACCGTGGCCCAGTGTGGGTTGTTGTTGTTATAAATGACAGGAGTACGCTGAGCCACTGTTCCAGCAAAGTGCACCTTCACATAGCCATCTGTAGCAGTGGTATGGTCCCCCCACAGATCAGTGGCCCGCTGTACTGTTATGATGACCCGTGCCATACCTTTACGAGCTGGGCAGCAGTCTTGGTTCACGGCGGGGTCATTGTGGCACTGGCAGACGCAGGAATCCCTCGAGTCACTCTTAATCCCAGCCTGACAGCGAGCGCTGCAGTTTCTCCACAGGCCTTTCTCCAGGATGTAATGGCTAATGGCAGAGCGCAGGTTTTTCCGGGCTTTGGCTGTGGCAGGAAGCAACTCATGAAGGGAATTTAAGGAGTATGAAATGATATCTGGATTTTTTGGTAGGGTTTCCAGCCATTCCTTGTAGGCAGCTGGATTTTTTTCCGCAGAGAAGAGAAGGTCTGTGTCTGTGGTATGCCCACCTTTTATATCTGTAAACCTGCAAAAGAGGGGACTATTTCAAACAGATGTGCCGAAATATTAGCTGAAAATGTTAGCGTGAGTTATTAAAGGGTGAAAACAGATAAAACATTTCAGGTAAAGTGAAATCATGTAGTTTAAAATAGACATGCATGTGACTGAAAGTAGCCTGGCCAAGCTGGACAATGCAACATCACATAACCTCAGGAACGACTAAACAAAGCACTGGAGGTGTTCACTCGAGCTCCCGCCTTTCTCATTACTTATTTCAATCCAATCAGTCATCGATGGGGGGAATATTGGACAGGACGTTTTGATGTTGTTGCTGATCAGTGTGTAATAAAATGTTCTCTACCTGTCATTGAAGAGGTCGGAGAAAGAGTTCTTATTTTCCAACTTCTCTGAAGCTTTCTGGCAGTGTTTTGTTTCGGCTTTTATTGTAGCTTTAATGCTCGCAGACGCCTCAGCTTCCAGACACAGCTCCACCTCCTCCAAGCTGAGTCCCTGCAGGCTGGCCTGACACTGCTTGATGCTGGTCACAGAGTCAATACTTCCTCCGAGCTTTACCTGGGATGATACATGAAAGACATATAAAGAAAAGTTTACTTCCTTTTACAATGCCAACTTTTATTGATTAGATACTGTGTTTACATATTTTCCTTTACCTTTGTGATGTAATGGGTACCGAAGTTGTCAATCAGTTTGAAAAATCGTTGTTTGAATTCTGGGGCGTAATATTTGGGAAGATCTTTCACTGCTTTCCGAAATTCTGTGTGCAGCTTTGGAGTATTTGACACTCGGTAGCTTGTTCACAGAGAGAAAAGACAGAAAGAGTATAAAACAAGCGTGTGACACTATCGCATTTATTTCATAAAGGGTGGAGTTCCTTACCTGTAGTACTCACACGACACACTCTGGCTAGTGAAGCTGAATTTGTCACTCTTTGTTTTCTCCATGGAGTACTCTGCCAGTTTAGAATTGGTACCAGCCAGCATAACAGAGCCACTTTTGTCATTTATTTCAACTTCTAGATCGGTCTTCCAGTTGTTTTCAACAGAGGAGACGCTGGAACTGACAAGAGACTCGCTGGATTTGTGAAGTTTAGTGGAAACTTTGGCGCTGCAGGACTGCTTTGCCCTCCAGTCCACCACTGTCAGGGGTAGCTTTTGCTTTATGTTCTCAAGATAAGGGTTGGTACACAGCATGCATGTTTTATCTTTGCGTTTCCACACATTCATGTTGAGCACGAAGGCCCCTTTACGTTCCATTTTGGTGATGTCGAAGCCTTCTCCGGCCAAATTGATGCCCGGAGCAAATTCTGCATCGGCGCACTGTTTCGGTGTCCCTTCTGTGCACGACTGAAACGTGCAGTGAGGGAGGGACAGCAGGAGGCCAGCACAGATCCAGATGTTCACCTGAAACATGTTGCTGCTGATGTGAACGCTAAAAAACAAACAAACAAATGAAGGTTTTCAGTTAAATAGAAACAAGTATGTTTATTAGTACACAAAGAGTTCCTTCCAGTTTTTAAATTCTAAACGAGACCTGACACGATATCAAATCTTCGCTTAAAGAAAATGAACACTAACAATGTAACTGCAATAAAACAGCACATGCAAATTAATGATAAATTCAAGAAATATTTTTTCAAGACAGAGCATGAAAAATTTGTCTTACATCTTCCGTTTTTGAAAAATTAACTAAACTTAAAATGCAAGTGCAGAGAAAAGAACAGCTACACTGACAAGATATCGAGTTTTTCCATTTTTAAACCAGAAGAACTCTGAGACTGCAAACCTCCTCACTCTCTAGGCAGTATTTATTCTTTACGCTCACTGAGTCACAGCAGCAGTTGGGGAAACCTTGACTGAAACTCTCCAAATCAATCCAGAGCTTTCAGTCTCTCTAAAAATCCTGAATCAGAGACTCCTGTTTGTACACTGTTAAATCCCCAATATTTCAGTCAAGATAAACATCTATCATCTATAATAATGCGTGAGCCCTCTTCAGATGTGTAATTGTGCATTCGGTCACTTCTCTAAGGCCTTTTTAAAGTACAACAGCATTTGTTGTTGAAAAGTTCCAGTCAGGTTTTTCTCCTACATAAAGCATATTTGGTGGCTTCAGACAAGATAGCGTTATTTTAATGTTGCTGGATGTTACTGGTGCTTTAGTAGTCTGGCAGAGCCCTGTGGTTTAAAATCTTATCATCAAAGTGGATCAGTTTCACTTCTGACTGATTATATTACATCTTGCTTTGAGACTTCTTTTTTGTGGTGTACCTCAAAGCTCTATTTAAGTAAGGACCAATTGTTTTATTTCAGTACACTTCGACTTGCATTTAGTTTTAGAAAGTACTAAATATATAAATAAGGCTGGTACGTTTGTAACAAGGTCACCTATGATGTTTTTTGGGGGTTGTTATTTTGGGGGGTAATATAAAACTTTTGATCTTTTAAGAGAAAACTAAGGATATAGATCTGACTTTGGCTCCAAAGATGTTAAATTTCAGAGCACCGAAAGTTTCCTTTAGCTAACTGAGAATGAAAGAACCCTTTTCATATTAGTCGGCCTCTCGGGTTTTGTGAGTAGTCCAACCAACATTTCCAGCATTTTAAAATGTTTCTTCACAATTGACTGGGAGTCAGCCTAAGATTATTTTGAAATAGCACTTTTAAAAACTAATTGTTGTGTTGCTTGAGGTTTGCTAAGAGCCGATCTTGATTTTATTATTATCGTGGTTTTTTTTGATACACGTGGAACAACATTGATCGGCACAAGTATGTTCTATCCCAAAACTTTTTTGATGTTCTGGGCAAATTCTCCTGCAAAAATATAGAGAACTGTGTAAAAGTCTAAAGCGTTCTATATATTTTCTGTCCCTCTCTCCTGTTCGTCATGTGGTTAGCTCTCGCATCACAAATTCCTCTACTGCTGCTAAATTTCTGATGCTTTCAAGTTAGTTTTACCTCCTTATAACGATGTGGATTTACTAACAAATCTTTTTAAGAACTCTTGTCTCTCTACTTTAGACAACGTTTGTCCTGTGAAACCAGATTAGCTCCTGTTTCTAAGTCGTCCCCCTGGATAAATGACAACATTTGCTGTTTAAAGCGTTCCTGCCGCAAAGTTGAGCGACTATGGAGGAAAACACTCCACACTCTTTCACTTAAAGGACCTTTTAGTTGCATTTAACACTTCAGTTCGTGATGCGCGGGCTGCCTATTTCTCAGACCTAGTATCAACGAGCAGAGGTAACCCCAAGGTACTTTTTGACACCATTAGTGATATTGTTGCTCCTGCTCCACCTGCTGTTTCA